CAATTTCCTGAAGTTAAACTGAAAGTCTATTTTGACAAGTTTTAGTGAAGACCATTGAATTTGTGTGTATCTGACAATGTTTTAATTAAATGAAATGCTTGACTCCTGTCATTGATCCTGATGGAAGCAGGTGTGTCTCAGTTACCTGTGTGATTTCAGGTGAGACCTGCAGTGATGGCAGATACTCCTGTAGAAACTGAATACACTCCAGCCCCTGTGTGAACAGCATTAAAACAGCCTGCAGTTAGATTCATTAACTATTAACTCAAGTCATCCCTGGCGTGAATGTAACTGGTTTCGGGTCTGAATAAGACGATCAGTTGAGGTGATTTCAGACTCACTCTTTTGAGATGAATCATGTGCAGAGTCAGCGTGCACTCAGACAGCGTCTGAAACACAACAGCAAATCATTACAAATCACCGTCAGACATTTAATGAAAGTGGTTTATGAAAGCCTTGACTGACGTACTAGAACAGTCTGGGCATCTGAAAGGTCAAAGGTTGGTTTCAGAGGGGCCATGAAGCATGCTGGGACGATATGCTTATAGATGAAATCTGGAAATCCCACCAAACCGTCTTTTCCACCTGAGAAAGAGAACATGTTAAAAGCAGTGTATTATTATATACTATTATAGTTATTAAATGTTTTGAATTCCATTTTCATTTTAATTTGTTCAGTTTTTAACAATTTTATGTACTTTTATCAGTTCTGTTAGTTTTCTCTTTAAGGATATTATTTAGGTTTAAATTATTTTAATTAAAGCTTTTGTTCAAATTTATTTTTTATTTTACTTTACATTTTACAACAATTATAACATAAAAGTCTTGCTGCTGCCTGAAGAATAAACATGTTAAAAGCAGTGTAAATTTAGTGTTATATATTATATTTTTATTAATATTTTGAATTCGCTTTTCATTTTTAATTTAATTAGTTTAATTTTTAATCATTTTGTGCTTTTGTTTTTGGATTATTATTTAGGTTTAATGTAAACTTATATTACATTTTTATTTCCAGTTAGTAATTAAATTTTTTTTTATACTTAATTTCCTTTAGTTGCCAGTTTATTTTAACTTTTCACCTAATATTTATATTATTTCAGTTTTACTTCAGTTAACAAAAATATTTTAATATTTTTAATGATAACCACCCTTATTAAAAGCCTAGAAGCATAACATGTTAAAAGTGTTATTTTAGTATTACTTATATACTATTATAGTTTTATTAATATTTTGAATTAGCTTTTATTTTTAGTCCATTTTCATTTAAAT